TAAAGCCAAAAATTAGACGGCTGTCTAAGTTAAAAACCAAATTTCTTTCTTAGACGGGGATGCAGCCAAGGATAAAAAAAGTTACACTCTTTTAAATTTTCAAGCTTTCGAAACTATATTTTGTTTCTTCATCAGGAAAAAACTACAATAAAATACAAGTTGAAGTTTTCTTAAAATTAGTCAATTAAAAAATTACTTACTATGCGAGAATTACATAGAAGTTAGCCAACATGGTACACCTACCGCGGACATAGGTCGTTAATACAAATAATTAAAAACATCACAGGTTAAAAACAGAAAATTGTACAAATCAAAAATTTTTAAAATTCATTACTAATGCAGACTAGAGCCGAAATCAAACAAAATGGCATTTTGTTTGATTGATAAAACAAAAACGTACGTGTGGGGTAAACCTTTGATTGATTGAATCACCCTGTATAGGACCTTTACACTAACAATGTACGGGCATTTACTTAATTCTAATTGTAAGAATTTGGTGAGAATCAGTTTAATTATGTTCCCGTTTGAGACTGCTAGAATTGTTTTTTAAATTTTTTTTATAGTTTGTTACAAATAATATGTAGATATACATTATAAACCTACAAAAAAGTTGTTGGGGATAAGGAGACACTCCAGTTTTTTATTTGTTTTTTAAAGTGTGGAATCTCTATAAACTCATAAGAATCACAATGGAAAAGATAATACCCGAGTCAAATTCGATTACTGCTACTACCACTATTATTATTTTTGCCGTAGTATGGAAGGCAACGGTTAACACAGTAGGTCTTTTCAAAATTCTAAAATTTTATATAACAAATCTGAGGGAGAAACCAATAAGAATGTGTATCTAAAATACACCACTCTAAAACGTCGAATTTAAAAGCAAGGCCAGACTATTAATCTTTGTTCGTGGTAGATACAGAAAACGGGCCTAAATGTTTGAAGTAGTTTCTTACAAAGTGAGTAAATTTACTCTAATAAAAAAACTACGCTTTAATTCCACAAATGCAAAGCTAATACATGTTCTACATGTAATTAATGTTAAACTGGTTTGCACATGCTCTAGAGC